ATTGTTTCGTCTGTAACATTCTATCTGGCTAGCATAACGGTGTCCTTTCATTACGATAAAAAAATGATTTCTCACTTTTGCAATTATCGTCATTGAATTTCTGAGGAAATTTTACCCCAAATAATCTGTTGTGAGTTCAATTTACTTTTACTTTCTTCAAGTTCTTAATCATCAAAAATTCAAAATCCCAATTCGCACTAGTGTGGTTTCTGAGCGTTAATATTGTTAATAACATGATACTGTCCCAAGAGTATAAAATGTGGCATTCAATGCGTTAAGGTTTCAATATTTTGATAAAAAATCAAATGAGTGTATGTCTGTAATTTCGAAAGTTATCAAATGGGCATCGACACATTTGTGAACTGTCAAACGGGTATCGATTATGTTTGATACAATTCGATACGGTGTCAGAATTTGCGGTCTGGAATCGATATTATTGATTCGGTATCGTTTCGATAACTAGCGATCGTTTATTATTTTACCGCTAATCTCCAACGATAATCGATTGCTTTAATTATTTCGAGGACAGGTGGCCAAATACATAATTTAATTGAATTCGATCGGTATCGTTACGGTGTTTTGCGAGCGGGAAATCTTCGAGTTTGGTTTATCGGATCTGTACGTACGTCGAGTGTTTAGGGGGAGAGTTTGAAAACCGATTAGGAGTGTGTTTCGAGGCATCAAAACTAACAGATACCTTGCGCGGTCCGGCTGCACGAAACTCGACCGTCCGAGCTTCAAACTTGCCGGTCGCCCCGCCACGACATTTATTAACCCCGCCATCGGAGTTGAGGGAGATCTGTATTCTGACTACGGACTAACGGGGAAAGCAGAGATTAACCGTGGACCGATTCGATCGAGTTACGCCCCGGCAAACTTCGTTCGTTTATTCGAGTGATCTTTATTAATGTTTGCAATGGCATTTCTAAGCATAAATATGTGTCGTGTCTCTTCCCATGCATCAGTCGATTTCATTCGTTTTCACTCGAAACAATTTTATCGTCGAATTAAATATTGCCTAGTATAGTAGAATGCATATTTTATGATGTAAGTAATAGGAAGTGCTATGATACAGCTTTTTGTTTTAGTAAAAAAACGCTTCCAATTTTGTTTTTAACTCGACAAAATTTGCGCCTCTTAACCTTTTAATGCCCAGATCCTTAAATGATTATTTCAAAATTATTAGACTGATATACATATATGTACATTTGTATCTTGTTATTTTGAAGTCGAAAATATCGATATTAAGCACACCTACTTTTTCGTTTTTTTTTAAATGAAATCGTTTTCATTGAATCAGCTATCGTATGACCTATTATTAAATATTTTGAAGCATAAATTCCTTTGTTATTCACAATAATATACATAAAATTTCCTCCTTTTTTTGTAAATCTTTACTAAAACTCGCACCAAATGCGGCCATTTTATTCTTTCGACTTCATGATGGGTCGTCGGATAGATGTTGCAGTAGGATTAAAAAATCTTTTTGAAATTTTGATTTCTGACTACTCTGCATGGAGATATCGTGGACACCGTTTGTACAGTGCAATTTTGGATCAACGCAGACCTACAATTTGCCACGTTGCACGAATATTGAAACAAACAATTTGTTATTTACCCGAATGTACATCCGTCCTTCGATTTACGTGGAGTGTTTGCTGGATATGATTCTTCTTTATGCGGCTAAAAACCGTCTAAATGGAGTCTGCCTGTACGAAAAAAAAATTATCAAGAGAAAAGGCAGTATAAATTTTAAAATATTTATTTTCAAAGAAACTAAATGCAACGAATACTCCGCGTAAATCGAGGGACGGGTGTATAATGAACAAAGGCCAGGTAGTTTCTTGTTTTATCATATCTTCTGTGGATTCTTAAAAAAAAAATTCCAAAATATCACCTTCTTATCGGACCGCCAAAGACGAAATGGGCCTTAATCCCTTGCCCTATAACATCGAGTCAGACCCCTGTCGACGATTTCAAAATCCATTCAACAAAGACGAATATTATGTATTCGTTGCTACGTTGCTGGCATTAATATTTACCTTTTACAGTAAAAATACAGTTACGATAAGTAAAAAATTCCTTTCGTTTCTGGGGAACTATCGACAGCAATGTAATGGAGTCTGCAGACGTGAAGAAAATCGTAGGGGAAGAGGTTAATGAAAGAAACTATCAGTCCAGAGAGCGAAAGTGACGAATAACAAGAAGATGATCCATGTCGACCGTGATCCGTGAGAACCGTGCGTCCATTCGACGAGTGAATATCGCAATTACATTCCACGCATAGCTCTCCTACCCGATTGATACCGGGCCAACGGTGTATTTCCGTGAACGGTATATAGAAACGGAAGAACGCGGGAACGTTGGGGGTAGGAAAGGGGGTTGATCGCGAGAGGGGAGGATGCCGGTTTGAACGAGGGACGAGGTGGGGCGCAGGAGGCTGTTATTTGCAATGAAACGCAACAATTGCAATCGGAGTCGATGCACGCCGGCAGCGTCGGTAAACGCCATATTGCAGCTGGGGTCGGTCTGGAAAAATAGTGTTTTTGTGCAAGCCGAAACGGCAGATATGAAACCAGCATGGCGGATGCTTACAAATAGTTGCAGGGCGGCGCCTCCATATAAATGCGCCGCGGCGACCGGTCCTCTATTTTTTCTCCTTTTGTTCGTGGGACCCCGGGGCAGAGGAGGAAAAAGGATTCTTGTGAAAGAGGCCCCGCAAACGGAGGGAAGAACACGCGTACGAATTCCTCGTTGCAACCCTTCGAATATACCACCCCGTTCCTCTGACTCTCGACCCGGAGACACAGTTCCTTTCTTTTTTTCGTCCAGCTTCGTCGAGAGCAACGTCATTGGCGGAATGATTTTCCGTTGTGTACACGGGACGACATGTTTTGTACGACGAAGGCGAGATGAAGATTTTATTTGTCTATCTGTCATTGGGTCGAATAACGCGGTTCTTCAAGAGAAAATAGTTAACTCTTATTTGTCCCATAGTTTCCTAATTTAATTTGTCTTTCGGTGTCGAATTGAGAGAGTAGTCAAAATTAATGCAACGAAAACATAAATAGTTAGATTTGTTAATTCCTTATCTACATATGACAGAATAACACCATTTCTTTGGGAAAAATGTGTTGAATTGACACAAAGGATGGATGAGGGTTAATCGAGTAAAGATTAAAATGTGACAGTTATAAATGATGTCCAGTTATACGTATCTGTATTGGAATTGTGATTATTTCTGACGCTATTGGTATAGTTAAATATTCTAATAATTGATTATACAACGTATGATGATCATGCGTCGGTGAAAATGTCAGAATATTTTATAGAAACATTCGGTACCGATTATAAAGGCTACTTTTAAATAATTGTAATTCAAATCGAAAATTCTTCGGTTCGTACAATGGGCATAATTATGTTTGCATAGTCGATATTAAGTAAATAAATACAGAGTAAATGTACCATAATAAAAAGATAAGTTTAAGTAGCTTATTGACAGAACAGATACACAAAGATACACTTCTGATGTTTCTTCGATGAAATACTTGCTTGACCGTTTATAGATATACTAATTCATCCACAATTCATAATTCTTATATTCGTTTGAATGAATAATAAACAGCAACTTTGATATCTTTTACTCATCATCTGCCATTTCCTGTCCGAACAAAATATGTTTACTCAGTTTAGCTCTCACAATGTAAATTCACAACACAAATTAAATAACGATACAGTGATTCCCTCGATGAATGCGACAGGAGCAATGGCATTATTCCCACCACTGGGGGGGGGGGGGAGGTCTGTAGAATCAATAAAAAGTGAGTAAAAAGAAACTAAGCAGAAGCTCGTCCTCGGGTAAATAACAAATTTTTACGGGACTGAAACTCTTTCCGTCTTGCCATGAATGCTCCGAAGTGGACTCGAGTACGTCGCACTCATCGAGACATTACCGCAATTCCACTAGAGAAAACCAACTCCCATGAAAAAATCCGTACCAGTTCCAGAACCGTAAAAAATTCAGTCAAGTACCTTCCACCAAACGCAGATAAGTCAACAAGAATGATTTACCACTGGTTCTCATTCGATATCTATCACCACCCTCGAAACAAACCGTTGCCCACTATCAGAACCGTCTAAGCATTTCCGTGAAAATTCGAGTCGATGGAGAAAATGCGTGTCGGTGGTTCTCTCGCCGGATCGGCTATGATATCGAGCCTGGTAGCCTGCCCGATAAGAGACAACGGGCTAGAGAGCACCATGACAAGGCGACGCCGTCACCACCACCGCCACCGACGGTAGTTTACGGTATTCAGGATCAATATCCATCGTGGTAGGTGTGGCGGATGGCAGAGGGTTCCATCTTCGGCCGCCCTCTCGGTGCTTATTGGTCGGAGAATCGGTACGCCGGTTCTGGTTTCCAGGCTGGAACCCGCGCTCCGTTCTGGGTAAACGGGCGGAGCTTGTCGTCTCTCCCCCCTCCCTTACCCTCCACGTTTTCTAGTGGGGAGAAGCCATCGGTGCTCTCTCCTGGCAGACGGCCGAATCGTAAATCATGACCAGTCGGTCGCTCGAAGCGCATCGTGACAAACAGCCTGAAAACCGTTGGAAAACATCGGAGCCGCGATCGATCGCGTACACGGACAGCCAATCTGTAATCACGTTTCGACAGACGGACTCGCCTCCGGCCCATCGAAGGACATTTCGTGCCCTGTGGATTGACCAGTGACATACAACACAGACACGATCCTTCGTAATATTATCGTTGTATCGATGCGTTGCAAGGAAAACGATTCGTGAAAGTTTACTGTGAAACGTGTAGGCGCAAGACAGCAAAGTGATCGATTTTTCTGGGAAATATCACGGGGGGGGGGAAGGGGTTCTGTGAAACGTGTAGGCGCAAGACAGCAAAGTGATCGATTTTTCTGGGAAATATCACGGGGGGGAAGGGGATCGGAAGGTTAGCAAAGACAGTTTTACGTGAGAGATATACAATCAACATGTGTAGCAACGAGAGCCCACCGCCGGCGAAGGAACCCCTGGCCGTCGGTTTGGGTAACCCTATGGCGGGTTTCTTGCCCGGCCTGGAACATTACCGTCTCCAGTTGTACCATTACGCGATGGCGGAAAGATTGCGACTCGCCCAACAGTTGCATCCCCAGCATCCAGGTGTCGGTCCTCCGCCTTCCACCGCTCCGACCCATCTGGGAATGGGTCCTGGATTTCCGGCTCCGTTACCCCTGTACCCGGCGGCTGCAGCAGCGGCTGGTTACCCCAGTAGATTAGCTCTATCAATGGCTCTGTTGCATCCACATCATCAACGGATACCAGAGGAACCGAAACCCCAGCACAGTTACATCGGTCTGATCGCCATGGCGATATTATCGTCGCCGGAAAAGAAGCTCGTGCTCTCTGACATTTATCAACACATCCTAGAACACTATCCTTACTTCCGTACACGAGGCCCAGGCTGGAGGAACTCGATCAGGCACAATCTCTCCCTCAACGACTGTTTCGTTAAATCCGGTAGAAGCGCGAACGGCAAGGGACACTATTGGGCGATTCACCCGGCTAATTTGGAAGATTTCCGTCGCGGCGATTTTCGAAGACGCAAGGCACAGAGGAAAGTCCGCAGACACATGGGATTGGCCGTCGACGAGGAGCCAGACAGTCCAAGTCCGCCGCCGTTGCCAGCTACTCCTCCACCGCCAGCGGCCATTGGCCCACCGGTAGCCACGCAGCCTATACCCGGACTCTGGTCGCCTCATCATCATCACCCTCATCATCAACAACAACAGCAACAGAACCAACAGCAAACGTTTCAGAATCAATCCCTAAGACAATCGTCGTTTCAACCGTCGAGGAAGAGACAGTTCGACGTCGCGTCACTTCTAGCGCCCGATGATCAGCATCAGATCGAATCCGATCTCAGGCCAGTGAAATCGAGACGGTTCAGCTGTAGCGAGGATGAGCTGCACGATCTCCAGGAGCCGGATCAGGACGAGGAGGACGTGGACGTGGACGTTGTCGCCGAGACGAACGCCCTTCCGTCGCCCAACACACCGTCGGTCAGCCCCGACTCGAAGATCGTCGTCTCGTCCGCCGGCCATTGGACCAATCAGGGTATCCAGAACGCGAGTCAACAGATCTCTGGCCTACACCTGCACAGTCACTTGCAAGCTAGGAGCTACTACATACCAGCTACATCGAGTACCGGGTCCAGCGTCTAATGGGGTCCTGGAGAACCGTGGAAAGTGTCCTGGTCCCGCGACACGTGCTTGGGTTACGTCGTTTAATCCGCGATTTCGGACGATCTTTGATGCAGACTATCGATGGAAACTCGGGAGAAGTGACCATGGTGACGAGTTGAATTCTTTTCGTTCGATTCTCTTGGGGATGGTTTTCGTTGATGAAACGAAACACGTAGAGGATACCCATTGGCTAGAAATTTTGCGTGAAGAACGTGGCCTGGGGTGCTACCTAGTCGTGCCAAATCGAGACCCTCGAGTTCCTCCGACGAAAACCTAACCAACAAGCTCGGATCCGGGATGTTAGTATAATTGACTGTACATATTGCCATTCCGCCGGCGAAATTGAATTTAGAGTCGACTCGCGGTGCAATATCTCCGACACGGGCGATCTTGATTCCTCGGTCCCGGCTTCAGCAACGAATTACAATCAATCTCCCCCTCCGATTTGTGCCCGATCGGTTTCCACGGGGATGTTTCGGCGGTTTAGTTCGGAGGCCGGTGCACTTGAATCCCATGTATCAGAAACATGTGTTAGGAGAAGAATAATCTGTGTACTGTATAAAATAAATGTGTAAGGGAAGTAATGTAACATTGAAATTCGTGTGTAGAATTCCACATGACCGAAACGTTTCGACGAGTTAGACACGAAAAACCTTTCACGCTGTATTTTAAACGATTAATAATTAATGGAAATTCATGGAAGAATTCCTGGGGACTAAAAGATACAGTCAGATCGATAAACTCTTTTTAAATTCGAAACTAAAGAAACTAGGTATGTAAATATCATCGTGAAAGGTCGACGCAGGTGACTGGTATTCTGTAAGAAAAGAAAAAAAAAAAAGAAAAAATGTCGATCGAAGAAATCGATGCGATATGTGCCAATCGTGGGATTCTACCCGCGAGTTACGAGATTCTTGTAAATAGGGGTGAGGCCAACGAGACGGTGATGTGTGTCTCGCTGGATCCGCAATATCGCACGCGGTGCAAGCTCGTATATGAAATTCCAATGCGGGGTGGTTGCATCAGACTGAAAGCGGACCGCGGCTGTTCAAAGTGTAATATAAAATAGTTGAAAGTTTAATGATAGATCGTCTTTATTATCGTCCCCCTCCCCTCGAATCGTTTCGAACAGTATAAACGTGTACGAAGGTAATATTCCACGCGAATACTCCGACCCACCCCATCCCACCCCTTCTGTATGTATGTAACGTATGTATATGTACCAATGTATACGTGCTTACGTATAATCGAAATGTATCGCGACGATCCAAATGTTGGATACAAACGAGTGAGCAACCGAGCAACGTTTCAATTTTTTTTTAAAAAAAAAAGATCCATCGCACAAACACATAAACGTAATACAAATATTGTCAACCTGTCTCTCTCGTGATTCTCAGAGCGGAACTGATCGAAATTCGTGTTGAATAAAGTTTCTGTTCCCATGGACTTCATCGTGTTGACTGACTCTTGACACCCCTATCACGTTGTTTAGACCCCCTCGTGTCTTCACTTCATCGTTCTCGATACGCTTTGGTTTCATAAAACCGTACGCATATACTGTCATTACTAGACTACGAATACTTATGGGAATTCAGAATTTTACAAACTACATTACACAAACGGGAATTAAATGTTAACTATTACATTCTTTTCGTTAATGGTTCTATTGCCACCAAATATACGATAAAATTGTGTGGAATATTCTGTACAGTTCTTGCTTTCTTATGTTCAATGTATATAAATACGTATTTCGTCGTCTAGTTATTACAGTATCGATTCTCTCGTTTTCTTTCATGGATGGCTCTTTAAGGAATACTTTTACCAAGTAATTAATGTAAATGAATAATAATAACTATTGTTACTTATTGATCTTTAAGAATTATTCTTTATTATACCTTCTTATTCTTGTTTCTGTGAAGAAGGTTTTTCATCATTGAAAAACCATATTCGTGGAAGTATCTACATTTCAGGCTTCAAAATCGGTTTAAAAATTAATTGAAAATTCGGTTACAATAATTCTATACGGGATAATACAAAAAAAGGGTTTATCACTTCTAGGGTAGACAGTACTCGCCAAATGATGAAAAAAATTCTTAATAAACATGGATCGAAAGATTAGTATCTTCAAAGTTATAAACAGTTTTTGGTTTCGGTTAAAGAGAGTGACTTTCTCGCTTCGGGAGCTATCATACTGTATGGAAACAATGGAACCTTATCATTGTTTCTATTTATGGTTACATATGGTTTTTTACAATTTTTATTAGGTTTTTTTAATTTTCTTCATTGTTTCCATATGGTATCGAAACAAAAAGTTGTGTATAACTTTGAAAACATTAAACTTTCGATCCATATTTATAAAGACTTTTTTTCACTATTTGACGAGCACTATCTACCCTAGAAGTTATGAACTCCTTTTTGTATCATCCTGTATATCATTCATATACGTCAGGTAACCGACGTGTACTAAAATAAATAAATTAATAATAATATTGAAGAAATACTATACAATATAATAGACTACAGGTAAATATCTCTACGACGAAAGTCGTTTCACGTAAAATTATCAATTGAAATAATCAGCTCTATTGAGTTCCTAAAAGAAAAAAATCTAAGTAGAAACTTTGGGGATTAACGTGTCATAGATGGTTTTTTGGAACTCTTTAAATTTTTTACTGTATCAACACAAACGTAAGAATTTCATTTAAGGGTAAAATTTCCAAAACTAATTATCAAATTATAAATTTCTGCATGATGGTCAATAGCCAAATATGTGCACAACGGCACGGTATAAATGAAAAACATTTATTTTAGATTCAAATGTTAGATGTGTTACTTCAAAAAATAGATGCCTCGAAAAGTATACGCACAAATCGTTAAAAAAACTAGTTTTAAACAGCGTAAACAAGTGTTTTCTTTGCGATCCCTTGTTCGTTAATATCCAAGGATTACATTAAGATAGTTAAACAAATCAAAATCCGTAATGAAAATTTTCGTCCATGTCGCAGTTTTTACACGTATCGTCCCACTGTGGCGACGGTAGGTACTCTTGACACAAATACCTCGGCTATTTTTCAGAATTTTTCAATACGACTTCGATGACGCGCGGAAATATGCTAAAGTTGACACAAACATTCCGCGCACGTTTGGCGCGTCAATGGAAAACGTGGGCCGGGTCGAGCACATTATTTGTCCTAACAACAATCTGCAGTGTCCATTAGTTAATGGCGATTTCTCGGCCGTGGATGAAGAGACTCGTAACATTTTTTCCTTTCCAAAAAATACTTGGAACATCGGTCTCTCTGTCCCTCTCTGTCCTGATCGATCCATCTTAATAAATATTACATTGTCGTAATCGGGATTTTGCATTTATTTAACAAAATATGGCTCTCCCTTTTAGCATTACGCCAAGTCACCGCTAATCGATCGTTCATTTGCTCATTATACCGATCGCGACGTGTCTCTTTAGATAGTCCTGCCAGTACTGGGGCTCGATAAGCTTGCGAAAAATCGTATGCCAAAATATTTTAGCATACAAAACGTACAGATAACTGGAAACTGCTATATACGATGCGATTCCTGTCGACAGTGACGCGCCCAACGAGATAACACGATTTTTTGCTGTTACACCGAAAAATCTTGTGTAATATGTTTTGTAGTCCACCAGACCCTTCTTAAATGTGAAACAACGGTGCCCATTTTTTAATTTACTCAAGATAGAGGGCACATCAAAATTGGCCAAAATATTAAGTGCAATGGATTCTAAAATGTTGGATTACGTAGTTCATTATTGTTGTAATAATATAAGTAATATATATTTATTTCGAGCAAAAGAGGCGATTATACTTCTGAATATATACAACTAATATTTTACAATTGTTCTAAGAGTTCAGCTATCCGATGCGATTATCCGTCAGCGATTCACATGAACGTAAATGTGAGTATTTTTGTTGTCGAATAGTAGCATCGTATACCTGAAGTATTAGAACAATTCTAAAATATTAATTATACTCAGAAGTATAATAGGTCACTCTGCTCGAAATAAGTACACCGTATATCATTACAACAAACTGAATTACGTAATCCAAATTTTTAGGGTCTACTTCACTTAATATCTTCACCAACTTTGATGCTCTGTATCTTGGCTAAATCAAAAAACAGGCAGAGATTTTTCATTTTCAATGGTTAAATTTGATTCAATTATATTATAATATTTGGAAGAACCTATTAATTAGATAAAATAAAATATCTAATAGTAATATAATTACTAAATGAAGAAGTGTCTTTAATTGATGAATTCACTTTTACTTATTATAATTTTATATGAATATTGATTTTAATTTTATTTTCAATAATATGGACATTAATAACTTTTTATATCAGTTTTTATTCAATAAATTTAGGGAGTCTATATATATTAAGACTTTCCGGGATAAGTGTATATTCAACAAAAAACGTTCCCTTCTCAGTTGCGTTATCCTTGGCAGTTCGTACGTTCTCTTTCACCTGATTTCCGTAATGGCACAATACTATAACCCTTTATTTCTATGTCCCCCGACGTCGAGTAATCGGCGATCCGTCGGTAGACCGAGATATTTTGCCACCTGGGCCGACCGTTTAACACCGTTCCCCGATCTGTTTATCGCAAATAATTCCGTCGGGGAAAGCTTCGCTAATGGGCCACACACTTGTTTCCAGCCGTGTTGCCCGGAAATCCGTAAGACAAATCCTACGGCCCCCGCTAATCGGATAATCTCTTCCCTTTCGAACTTTCGCGTTTCATTCAGAACGTTCGCGTACCACCGTTCGATAAATATTGGGCGTATGCAAAACCGACCACCGTTTCTCCGACGAAAATTACCATTCGACGATGGCCACGGCATCAATTAGGCACTTAAAGGTAGTTCTCCTACATTGTTAAGGGTCATTTCAAGCACTCAAAAATCTCTGACAGACAGTCTGAAACTAACAAAATTTGGACA